TCTACATAGTTGCTTTATTAGTGTGCATGTACATGTATATGTGATGTGTACTCATTTTTATCTGTTTTTTCTTTTCATATTAATACTTAAAATGAGAACAGTGGTGTTATTCTTTTTAGGTTTTTTTTATTTTTCTTTCTAGTCATTCCCTACGTATTCATATAGAGATTATTTCTATTTATGATCATATATTATGGTAATCAGATAATAAATTTTTTATGTAATAAAGCCTAAAGCATTGTCGGTGTTTATAGAACTCTGCGTATCCAATATTCATACGTCTGATTATTTAAATAAATAACGCTGATTAGAGAAGGTAACAAGAATAACTGCAATATGCACTCGAAATTCTGATGGCTTTTTAGTTTTCGCGTAGTCTTTTCTAGAATAATATGAGCGAGATGGTGGGCACAAAAATGTCCAGCAAATCTACGAAAATCCTTTTTTTTACATCACCAGATATATCGGCATTAAAAATGCGAAAAGTTTTAATGCAGAAGGGAATCAGTTCTTTTAGATGGCAAATTTGCATTCCTAAAATTGCAATATTGCCACCCTACAAATGGCAAATTTAAAAAAACAATAGAGAAAAACTAGCTAAATAATGTAACATGAGTACACAACGTATTAAATTCTTGTCAAACAAAAAATTCTCTACCTTCGATATCTGGAAGCAATCTTGGAACCATAAGGTATGTAGAATAAAACTAGATACGTAAATGGCTCATCATTTTGAGGTCACTCATAATTAGCAACAAAACGCTAGAAAAGACCTTATTTTTTCGATGGGTATTAATGAGATGAAGACATACTTTCCATTCAAAGCGTCTATGATGATAGAAAAATCATTAAGCAACCAACTAAGTCGTGTACACACAATCTATCTCTTCCACTGCAGTTATGATTGTTATTGTCCTTACTCAACCTTACCAAATAATCAAACGTGTGAATATTGAATACACCGAGCTTCACTCAAATTCTTCAAAAAATCCTTTGACCCGCACTGTCAAAAAAAAGTGTCTTGATAAACCACTTGGCTGACTCCAAAATGTATCCACAGTCCGTTTTGAAGGCGCATTAGATGCATTTTCTCAGCTTTTTACTGTTAGTTGTCTTAATGTCTTCAAAAAAACACCTCTGATTTGTTGTTGTTTTTGAAAAAAATAGCTTAGGTGCATTTGATAGACATCACTAATACATCAAAAACGTACAATGTACTAGCTACGGTCAAGACACCTAGTCTCCCATCAGTCGCGAATAAATCATGTAGTCACATTCAAGACAACGGACTGTTGTTAGACACAGAATTATTCCAGTACCTAGTCAAGATATCTCTAGCAAGATAAATGGAGATATAACATTTCTAGAAAAGTGTCGTATCTACATTGCTTCTTTGATGGCGGTAGTGACTATCACACTTTCGAATCGACGATTTCTAATCTGTTGCTCGTTTATTTAATTATGTTAGATTCGTTCAAAGCAAATAAATGAATTAATGAAAGAACTGGGTCACAATGCACCTCTTTTTTCACAGTGTACCCATTATTTACGTCAGAAATATCTTATAAAGAGGGAAGCTCTTCAAGTGATCCTCAATTTTCTGGTGCGCTTTGGGCTTCTTCTTATAGGTAATTTAAGATTGGAATTTAATGATCGTTGCGATTCGTATGCCTCTTCTGAATCGGTCTGCAAAATTGTCTGTTGAACCCCTAAAGTAACTTTAAAATCCAGTTTCGCATAGTAAAAAATGCGGAACTACATATGTCCACAAAAGCATTGAGGTTTACGACCATTTTTTCCACAGTTTTATTTCAGTCGCATATTCCAACTCTGCTGAAAAGACTAGCGAAGGGTATACGTAATTAACTCCGAAAATGTGATCGTGAATCCTATTAACTTGTCGACATATATAACGCCGTATTTTTTTACTAGTACTACTAATAGGCATCGAAGATGCAACGATAATTAAATTTTAATTTCAAATAACCGAAGCCCGAGATACATCAAAAAGTCGACGATTACTTAGTGAGCTCTGCTTCTAGGTCAGAGAGAAAGTATTTTATCTGACAACAAATTAAACTGATAACATACCAGAATTGAAGTTTCTGTATCGCATGTTAATATAGGCCGATCACCTTTATCTACCTCACGTGTATTCATTGGACGAACTCTATTGAAACAAATATTTAATCACTTACAAGATATTTCTCCAAACTGTACTTACCTAACAATAACTCGTACACGATCTTTTTCCGACGATAAATCATCAGGCGGTTCTGACCGGAAAACACTAAATAACAGATAGACGCATGAAGCAGTATAATATCCATAGAACATTATCCGTCTTCAAAACTCTATGTCGTACTTCATATTTTTATAATATCGAACTGACGAACTCGTTCGACTATAAGCATTTTTGTTGCTACTTCGATTACTCGTTGTACTACTTCGATTACTCGTTGTACTACCAGAGCGATCCGTACTATTAAAATTATTTGACTTTTTCACGGGCAGTGTAAACATTATTTTTTGTGGATTTGATTCAAATGAAATTATTGCTTTCTTTTTTTTCTCACTATTCTCACATTTGATTACGACATTATATTCATATATCAGTTAAGCTAGTCATTTGTTACTCTGTCTATTTACTTATCAAACTTGACTGCGCACTAGTCTTAAATCTAGAACTGTTCTCTTTCGTTATGAAGATATTTTGTGGGTTTTCTTTTTTCTTTGTGTGCATATGGCACTTGAAATGAACGAGAGAATATTAAACAGAAACAAATACAATCGCATATTGTTTATCGGTATCACGGCCCTTGAATTCAAATACATCCATGACTAAAGTAAAAATCACTTACTAAAAGATGAGAAAGATTTCTATTGTACTTAAAAGTAATTATGAGTAATTCTGTAGTGAATCTACGACGGCTACAAAGAATGTCTGAGACAAGCTGAAAACTTCAAGATAGCAAGATATTAATGAGGTATGACTATCTGTAATAAAAAACTTAAGTAGGCAATAATAGTTTCCTAGTCACGTCAATATTATGGTTTTGATCCCAAATTGGAATTTTTAAAGAGTTACTTTTTTCAGTCATTGATCAGTATGTAAATATACAATCTTACATATAATCATGTTTTCTATACCAACTAACGTTGGAGTATGTGATCGACCCTATCACCCTTGATAACCCTAGTAAAGCTTTTTTTCTCAAGTCAATAGCTTTTTGTCTTTTTTGAGTAAGAATCTTATGGTGTAGAATCATTTCTTATTCTTGCAAACTGCATTTTTTCAGTTTCATGTGCTTGACTTTCTTGAAGTATGCGTGTGTACCCCAACCTTTCTGCATGATTAAGAATCTCACACGCATGGAGGGAAATCTGGATGTCTACGCATCTCATGCATATGAGTGAAAAACTTCGCTACTGATGTTGCGAGATGCAAAGGGAACTATTGTAGGGTTCAAAATGTTCAAAAAACAGGTTTAGGTTAAACAGTAAGGTTGGCCGAACGATTTTTTCTTAAACATAAAGTCAGAAAAAGTCAGGTTGCCTATCTTACACTTTTGAGACAACTAGTTTTTAAGATTCTACGGTTAACTATTCCACGTAACTCACTGGAAAAAGTGCTTTCGTAACTCTTTGTGCTACTTTCTCGTCTCTATGTCTTCCGATCGGAAGGACGCCCAGAGATCGTGTCTATCTCATTTTTCTAGTGTGCTTAACAAAATGGCACATGTCACAGTTCACTAGGATTTGTGGTTGTGTAAGCAATCAACAAAACGTAGATATATGTTGTGTAAGCAAAAAAGAAAATTTTTTCAATAGTGGTGAATATTATGGTAATATTTCCTTAACGCAAAATCCTAGAGTGTTCCGAGATATGCCATTGTGCTACGCACACTTTTCATCGAAACATTTTCGCGAAAGAGTCAATCGCGAACTTCGGACGTCTTTCTTGTTCGAAAGATGTAAACATGAGAAAATAGCATAAAAAGTTACGGGACCATGCTTTCGAGCGAGTTACGTGGAATGGCTCATAATCTATCTGCTTAGGATTTTTTATCTCAGGTAGTCAGAGCTTATTGAGAGCTTGCTACTTTGAAGTTTTCTACTTGTTCTCAAATATCGAGTGAAAACACGTGAATGTTTTGGTGAAATTACGTTTAGAAGATATATCTCAATGACTTTCTGATAACTGTTATTCGAGCTGCTTGCATTTCCAAAATTTGACCAAAGAACGTTCTGCATTAATTTAATTAAGTATTTAATTGAGGAGAAGTTTTCTTGAATATCTACGACTGTGGTAGTGTTTGAAAACTAATTATTATCGACTTTCTTTGTCGCTTTTGATTTGCTTTGTTTACCTTTCACCACTAGTCGACGATGGTTGTTGCGCTTTTAAAACCCAATCAATTACCGAATTACTTCTAATATCTGTTTGCAGACCTCTACTAACTGAAGCTGTTCCATCACGATATGAATTCATAACATTGTCAGTCGAAGCAAAATTTTCAATATTTTCAAATGATAAATATTTCTCTTTTGCTATTGTTGGGTGAGTATTGGTTGCCGAAATTGGTCCAATATTTTTCAGAATACCATGACCAGGAGGATATGAATCGTCCTTTTGTTGCACATCCATATCTTCTTGTTTATCTTCCATGCCGGTCATAGGCTGGACTTCAACCAAATTAAATGTTTGAATAGATTGCTTACCGTGATTCATGACCAGAGAGAATTTAACTTGTGAGTGTAAAACGGATAGACACAGTTTTGAAAGAAATCAATCAGTATAATAAGACTTTACCGGAAATACAAACGTTCAAGGATAATAATGAGCTTTTACAAAAATACAAAAATACTGTGAGCAAAATAGAAAAACAACTTTTATTGTAATTGGAATTTGTTATTAATGCGCACGTAACAAGGAAAATTTCTTTATTGAAAATGTTGTTTTCTACAAGTTTTTCTGATTATTAATCTTTTTTTTCAATCATAATTTGTTACATGTCAATCAAGATTTATTAGTTCACCTATATCTATTGATTGTTCAGCATTCTTTTCTAACTGTTGCTTTAACTATATATAAAACGTGTTGATGTTTTCTTATCAAGGTCGACCAATAAATTATCGCTAAAAATCAGATCTCAGGAGAAAATGCCACTTAATTTACTAATAAGCACCATCACGTATACAAATATAGAGAGAAAATAATTGTTTTTCTTTCAGTTAAAAAAAAGACTCTTTCTTTAAATAAAAGGCATTCAACCGTCATCAAAACATAAAAACGATATTATAAGAATAATTGAATAGTTTTTGTGCAATAGGATTTCATTTGCTTTAGTTCTTCGCTTTAGGAAAGAATTAGAAGAATAGGCGATCAAAAAAAGTTGAAAGTTTATCATATAGGTTTCAGATCGACTATTTTCTAACAGACAATTCATTTTCTTTTTATTCAAAAACTTCCTCGCAATTTAAAATTTTCGCTCATGAACAAGAAAAACAAATGTCAGTGTGCGTACACTTCGTAGTATTTTAAAATATAGAGAAGTGATTTATAATTGGTACAGCCATACGTGATTTGTCCACAATTTTTCACTTTTTTCCGTCATACACCATATGCGACAAAATCAAGTTTCTGCAGTCATCCTCCAATTTATTGATACTATCGGAAGATTTAATCAGTCATGATGTACTGAACCTTCATGAACAGGACGTCACATGGATAGAGTAGATCTCAGAATTCGATTCCCAATTCTCTCTCTTTTTTCACCAACATATAATCTCTTTTCTCTAAATACTCATTCTGTTCCAGCATGTTCATGTAGAATCCGGCATACAATGGGATATCCCGAATTGCCGAATAAGTGTTTTTCTCTGGTAGTTGTATTTTTATTTTCTTTCTTTTTTACCGTTATTTACTAAATAAAAGAAAAACTGTTTAAAGAAAAAAAAATTCAAGTTTCTTTTTCTCTTCAAGTATGTATTTATAGCTATGAAATATAGAGAAAATGAAAAATTGTTATTGAATTATTCTTTTTTTAAAAGGCCTCGTAGTGGACAAAAAAACCTCTAAACAAATCAATCATGCGTGAGATAATCAAATGTTAAATGATAAGATTTAAAAAAAGAAACTAAAAAAAAGGTAGCGGATATACATTAGTAAGTCTTATAACTGGCTTATGTCTGGGAAGCGAAGAAAGGAAAAGAAAGACAATTAAAAGTTTTAACTAGAATAATATTGTTGTATGTTTCATTGTAGTCGAACGAACTGAGTGAAAAACCTGCGCAGGGTAGCACCTAAGGGTGCTAAAAGGTCGACCTCCCAATACTGAGACGTCTGGTCTTAGAAAAAAAAATTAGTTCTAAACTGAAATAAAAGTTTAATATACTAATGAAATTTGAACATGGATGAAACTTTTTTTCTAATCAGACATTTATCTTTGGCTATAAGCTTGAGTATATGGGTATATGCTTTGAGTATATGTTTTTTTTTTAATTTCGTTTAAAACAGACCGTTTGTTAATATTCGAAGTTTGATACTTTAACACAACTCGTTCCGAACTTTTTTAAGAGGTTGTGACTACCACTTAACAGGTTGTGTGCGCCTTTTAAGAGGTCTGACTACCACTTTAAGAGGTTATGTCCTCCAGGGGGAGGGGCGTCAAATTTATCTTAAAAACAGCGGGTTTTGGGTGTAAAACTGTTACTCCCTCTTCTTCGAAGATAGTGAAGTAGTTCCACAAAATACAATAACAGTAGAACGATGCACATCTTCAGTACTCTTTCAGTGATACAGTAAAATTCTCTTTTATTTTATGATAATCGTAGGACTTTGATAATAAACGTATTATTTCTATTCTTTGCAGCCGCTTATGAGTCAGTAGACTCGAATGCTCTATAAACGTTATTTTAAAATGTAGCTAAATAAATAAAATATGAATTCAGAAGCTGCAAACAACAGAATGAATAGTCTGACATTCTTTAACAACAAGAAAGTGGTTTGAATAGCCGTGTTACACGAGAAAGTTGGTCTAGGCTATCTTCGAAACTATTAGACCAAACCTAATGAAACTCAGCGTTTAGAGGTTTCATGAGGTTCTCTTTCTTTTCTTCTCTAGAAAGTTTTCTTCAAAATCCTCGGAAGTAGGAGTTCCGGAAAACCGTGGTTTCTGAGCTATAGTAGTTGAATTAAAAGTATTTTAAAAATCACCGTTAGGATATGGAACATTTTAAATAATATATTCGGATTCAGCGTCAAAAGGCGAACATTTTGAGAAAAAACTAAGGCTCCAACTCAAAATTTCAGTTTTTCAATTTAATTTAAAATTTAAAAAATTCAACTTTTTTTAAAGTGAATGTAGCTCAGCTCAGTTCAAACGTGGTTGGATAGAATTAAAACTAAACACACGTAGGGTTTTGACAATGTCTCCGTATTATGTGATCTTGGTTGCCATGGATTTTTTCTAAATTAGAGGGGAAAAGTCAGAATTCTGCTCGTATTTTTCAATTTTCTCCAACAGAACTCAACTTCTATGTAATAAAATTATCATATTCGGAATCAGGATCAAAAACCGAATCGACGGATATGTATTTCGAACTTTTTACTTGATTTTCATTTTTTTGGTGTCAACGTACAAATTTGAAAAAATTTAAAGTACTCGGATAGGATAAAGATACATATCCGTCGATTCGATTTTTGATCCTGATTCCGAATATGATAATTTTATTACATAGAAGTTGAGTTCTGTTGAAGAAAAT